AAATGTTGGGCTCAGTTATGGTCGTAAGTCAAAGACTACGTGTTCCAACAAACTGCGTAAACATGTAACTCAGTTAATAACTGCAGTGGTTCACTGCAGCAAAAAGATCATAAAGTGGAGCAAAATTCTCTTTAACAACTGTCTTGCCTAGCAATGGAAAAGTTGGGCTCAGTTGTGGTCATTGAGGACCACCTATGAGGTTCTTTCAGGTATTACAGGGAGTCCCCAACTTACAACCATTCATTTAGTGACTGTTCAACAATACAACGACACTGAAAAAAAATGACTTAGGACCGGTTCTCACCACTTATGACAATTGCAGCATTCCTGTGGTCAAATGATCAAAGTATGGGCACTCCGCAATTGGCATGTATTTATGACACTTGCATTATCCCGGAAAGGGTATATTTGGACAGTGGTGGGATTCAAATACCTGAAGAACCAATTCTCTTATTGGATACTGAACCGGTGCAAACCGGCTGAATCCCACCACTGTATTTGGATCATGTGATCACGGGAATGCTGCAATGGTCATAAGTAATAATAATAATAATAAAGTTGGAAGGGATCTTGGAGGTCATCTAGTCCAACCCCCCTGCTCAAGCAGGAAACCCTATACCATTTCGGACAAATGGCTGTCCAGTCTCTTCTTAAAGACTTCCAGTGTTGGAGCATTTACCGTTTCTGGAGGCAGGTTGTTCCACTGGCTAATTGTTCTAACTGTCAGGAAGTTTCTCCTTAGTTCTAGGTTGCTTCTCTCTTTGGTTAGTTTCCACCCGTTGCTTCTTCTCCTGCCTTCAGGCGCTTTGGAAAATAGCTTGACTCCCTCTTTTTTGTGATAGCCCCTGAGATATTGAAACACAGCTATCATGTCCCCCCTCGTCCTTCTCTTTGTTAAACTAGATGTAGCCAATTCCAGCAACCGTTCCTTATATGTTTTAGCCTCCAGTCCCCTGGTCATCTTTGTTGCTCTTCTCTGTATTCTTTCTAGAGTCTCAACATCTTTTTTACATCGTGGTGACCAAAACTGGATGCAGTATTCCAAGTGTGGCCTTACCAAGGCATTGTAGAGTGGTATTAATACTTCACGTGATCTGGATTCTATCCCTCTGTTAATGCAGCCTAGCACTGTGTTGGCTTTTTTGGCAACTGCAGCACAAGGCTGGCTCATATTTAAATGATTGTCCACTAGGACTCTGAGATCCCTCTCACAGTTACTACTATTGAGCAAGATACCCCCTATAGTATACCTGTACGAAATATGAAATATGCACTATGATCACCGTTTGTAAGCTTCCCAGCTGGCTTCTGACAAGCAGTCAATGCAGGGGGAGCCAGATTTGTTTAACGACCATGTGATTTATTAGCAACTGCAGCTATTCGCTTAACAACTGCAGCCAAAAGGTCGTAAAATGGGGCATAACTTCTGCCTTGCTTAGCAACGGAAATTTTTGGCTCAGTTGTGGTGATAAGTCGAGGACTACCTATGTTAAGGTTCTGGGGAGAATTCCAAAAATCCTGCAGACTTTCCTAGCCTAGTGCGGTTTGGCTGACTTATCAAATGCTGTGCATTTCTGAAGAACCTTTTAAACAAATAAATGTTAAAGATTGTACTCTAGAATTCTTGGCTTACCTTTTGCTATATTTGGCAAAAAAAAAAAAACAATTGTCATCTTCAGTAACTTTTTGCATTTCCTTGTCTCTGGAAGAAGGAAATTGCTTTCCTGGCAGATTTTGTTGACACAAAGTCTTTCTCAGAGCCATTGCAGTGACTAAACAGAGCGGATTAGGACATTCCTGCCAAAAATAATATTGTTTTCATTTAATTATTGCAATTGGGAGAATCCAAAAAAATGAAACACGCACATTATATCAAACATCCCATTTTGAGAGTCGCCAAGGGAGGATGCATGACTCATGGCCCCTACATAACAGCAAACAAATTCAACTATCTTAAATAGCCTGAGAAGATATATTGGGGTGAGTTGGACAAAAATATTTTTTATTCAGGCTTGGCTTTCCTTTCTGTTCCTTGGAATAATTTTCCATGTCTTTTTAAAAAATCCTTGCTATTAACTTAGAAGCACAATATATACATTTTCTCAGTTTCTCTCATTTCTAATTTTATTACCTCTGGAACTGTGCAGTAATCCAAATTCCAAGAACAAAGTATGCTTTGGAGTGAATATTGACATCTTTACAGTAAGGATAGCTTTTCCCATGCTTGCACAATTGCGTAGTGCACAAAACTGGCACATTTGGTCTAAAGATATGCCAATGGATGTGAGGTAGGCAGCTATGCACAGTCCAGATCTCCTTTTCCACATCTTTGATCCCAGATTTACTGCACAAATCCCTTCACTGCCATAATTTACTCCAATCCTCTCTTTAATGATGGCACTTTTAGCCTTTTTAATTAAGGATGAGATCAATACACAGAGAGTGAAACTGTGAGTGGGACTTCAATTTTAGTGTTTCCAGATGCATCTCACTGTGAAAGAGAGCAGTTTGGTCTAGTGCTTAAGGTACCAGGCTAGAAAGCAGGAGACGGTGCGTTCTAGTCCCACCTTAGGCATGAAAGCCAGCTGGGTGACTTTGGGCCAATCACGAGGAGACGGTGAGTTCTAGTCCTGCCTTAGGCATGAAAGCCACCTAAGGTGATCTTTGACCAATCCCTCTCCCTCAGCCCAACCCACCCCACAAGGTTGTTGTTGTGCGGAAAATAGGAGGAGGAAGGTGTGTTGGATATATTCACCACCTTGAGTTATTTGTAAACATAATAAAAGGCAGGATAAAAATAAATAAAATAATTAAGTGAAACAAATAATGGACAAAATGATCTCTTGGCAAGATTCACGTCAATTTGAAAAACACATTGTCTGCCACAAGGAGCACAGTTTTGGATTAAAGGCATTTAAAATAGCACTGATTCAGAATCAGTCACCAAGATTGATTCTTTTTAACAATCTAAATTTATTGTAGAAGCAGCACTGGGTTTTATCGGGAGTTTTCAACAGAGAGTCCTGGGACTAATTAATATAAGATACCATTGTACCAATGCTCCTGCATTCTGTGCTGTATGTTTGCTACACCAAGTTGCTGGATTGCTTAAATCACATCTTCCTAGGTCAGTGGTGGCCAACGTGTGGCACGCGTGCCAGAGGCCACATCAGAACCCTCTCTGTGGGCATGCGCGCCATGCCCCGGAGATGGCAACTGTCTCTCTTCAACCAGCCGCCCGCTAACTCGCCGACGTCCCACGTGGCCGGATGCATCCCGGCATGGCTGGTTTCCCTCCCCCCTGTACTGTCCCTCCTGGCCTCGCATGCTCTCCTTTTCCTGGGCACGACCCACTACATTCACCTCCTCAGCTGTCGGCCGGCCGTCCAGCTCAGAGGCGGCTTCTCTGAACTCCTGGCAATGGGCTGCGGAGCCCCAGAGTGCACCAGTTGAGGGGCCGGCAGAATGTGGCTGCTGACGGACACCATTGGCCCCCATGCACTTGCTGGCCTCTGTGTGCAGGGGCCGATGGTGTCAGGCTGCAGCCGCCCTGGCCCCTGCCTCGCCTTGCCCCGCAGGATGAGCCTCCTGCCCACCTCCCCACCTGCCAGAGACCCCCTGGATCTCCCCCAACCCTGCCCGGTCCCCACAGATGTCCTTCTCTATGAGCAACATCGAGGTGACCATGCCCACTTTGACCACACCCACCCAGTCTGCCATGACCACTACAGCCACGCCCACCCAGTGGGCCACAGCGATAAATAAGTGGGTTTGGGGTTGCAGTTTGGGCACTCGGTCTCTAAAAGGTTCGCCATCATTGTCCTAGGCTGTATATTATCTAGTGAACAATAACTACAGAACTCATTGCTGATCTGTGCTCAGCTACTTTGCTTTGCTTTAAATTGATCTTCTACACAACTGCAAGTTTAAAGTGAACTTGGAAAGTGAGATCAATTGCACTCATTAAGCTATTTTTCTTTACAACTTCTCTGTCTTTGGAAGAGTTTACCAATTAGAAAATTAATACAAGTAGTCCTCAAATTACAATCATTCATTTAGTAGTAATAGTAATAGTAGTAGTAGTAGTAGTAGTGATAATAATAATAATAATAATAATAATAATAATAATAATAATAATAATACAGTTGGAAGGGACCTTGGAGGTCATCTAGTCCAACCCCCTGCTCAAGCAGGAAACCTTATATCATTTCAGACAAATGGCTGTCCAGTCTCTTCTTAAAAACTTCCAGTGTTGGAGCATTCATCGCTTCTGGAGGCAGGTTGTTCCACTGGGTAATTGTTCTAACTATCAGGAAGTTTCTCCTTAGTTCTAGGTTGCTTCTCTCCTTGATTAGTTTCCACCCATTGCTTCTTGTCCTGCCTTTAGGCGCCTTGGAAAATAGCTTGACTCCCTCTTCTTTGGGGCAGCCCCTGAGATATTGGAACACTGCTATCATGTCCCCCCTCGCCTTCTCTTCATTTTGTTAGATAGTGCCCAGTGTTCAAGTCTGTCCAGATCCTCCTGTATCCTAAGCCTGTCTTCTGGACTGTTGGCTATTCCAGAAGACAGGCTTAAGATACAGAAGGATCTGGACAGACAGCGACTGTTCGAAGTTACAACGGCACTGAAAAAAGTGACTTCTCACATGACCGCTGCAGTATCCCCAGGGTCAGTTGATCAAGATTCGGACGCTTGGCAACTGACTCATATTTATGACGGTTGCAGTGTCCCTGAGTCATGTGATCTCCTTTTGCGACCTTCCGGCAGGCAAAGTCAATGGGGGAGCCAGATTCACTTAACAACTGCAGTGATGCACTTCACCACTGTGGCAAGAAAGGTCATAAAATGGGGCAAAACTGGCTTAACAACTGTCTCGCATACATTTTGCAATCAATTTTGGCCATAAGTTGAGGACTACCTGCAATACTTTTTTTTCTTTTAAGGGAGTGGTTCTGTCCCATTGTTTTAACACACTCCTCCTCTCTTCCATTCCTTCCAGGGTATGGCCTTCACCCTTGAAGAGAGGCTCCAGCTTGGAATACACGGTCTTCTTCCGCCTTGCTTCCTGAGCCAAGATGTCCAAGTTCTCCGGGTCCTCAAAAGCTACGAGACCAAATCCAATGATCTAGACAAGTGAGCAGAAGTGAGCTGGGGATGCCTGCACAAATCTTACAGTTAGAACTAGATGCTCTGAAACTTGGATTTTGACCCTTCAGGTTTCTTTCTTTGGTTGAAAAACCAAATGTACAAATATAGTATAGGAGATACCCTGCTCAATAGTAGTAACTGTGAGAGGGACCACGGAGTCGTAGTGGACAATCACTTAAATATGAGCCAGCAGTGTGCTGCAGCTGCCAAAAAGGCCAACACAGTGCTGGGCTGCATTAACAGAGGGATAGAATCAAGATCACGTGAAGTATTAATACTGCTTTACAATGCCTTGGTAAGGCCACACTTGGAATACTGCATCCAGTTTTGGTCACCGCGATGTAAAAAAGATTTTGAGACTCTAGAAAGAGTACAGAGAAGAGCAACAAAGATGATTAGGGGACTGGAGGCCAAAGCATATAAGGAAAGGCTGCTGGAATTGGGTATGTCTAGTTTAATGAAGAGAAGGATGAGAGGGGTCATGATAGCAGTCTTCCAATATCTCAGGGGCTGCCACTAAGAAGAGGGAGTCAAGCTATTCTCCAAAGCGCCTGAAGGCAGGATAAGAAGCAGCGGATGGAAACTAATCAAGGAGAGAAGCAACCTAGAACTAAGGAGAAACTTCCTGATAGTTAGAACAATTAACCAGTGGAACAACCTGCCTCCAGAAGTGGTGAATGCTCCAACACTGGAACTTTTTAAGAAGAAACTGGACAGCCATTTGTCCGAAATGGTATAGGGTTTCCTGCCTGAGCAGGGGGTTGGACTAGATGACCTCCAAGGTCCCTTCCAACTTTATTATTATTATTATTATAAACTGCCAATTGGCTGTCATCTTACTGTGCATTTTGTCCTAAGAGACTAGCTGTTCCCAGATCAGTCTTATAATTTCTATGCTAGCTTTGTTTCCAGCTCCTATTAAGGTATCCATCCAACAGAAATAGTAAACTGACCCCAGCTATCCGCACTGTGTTCAGACATTTTCCCACATAGATAAGCACTTCCTCGAACTGTTACTGTGACATGACCTCTCGTAGTCTCTTCTTTGACCCAATATTCTTCTCCATGCTGTAAACGTGGCAGACACTGTTGAACTTTTAAAGGACTGTAGGAACTTTTTTTAATGTAGCATCTCTACAGCATTTGTAAAAGGAAGCGCACACACCCTTCCTCCCTAAAACATATAAGGAAAGGCTGCTGGAATTGGGTATGTCTAGTTTAATGAAGAGAAGGACAAGGGGAGATATGATAGCAGTGTTCCAATATCTCAGGGGCTGCCCTAAAGAAGAGGGAGTCAAGCTATTTTCCAAAGCACCTGAAGGCAGGACAAGAAGCAACGGGTGGAAACTAATCAAGGAGAGAAGCAACCTAGAACTAAAGAGAAACTTCCTGATAGTTAGAACAATTAACCAGTGGAACGACTTGCCTTCAGAAGTTGTGGGTGCGCCAATCCTGGAGGTTTTTAAGAAGAGATTGGACAACTGCTTGTCTGAAATGGTATAGGGTTTCCTGTCTGAGCAGGGGGTTGGACTAGATGACCTCCAAGGTCTCTTCCAACTCTGTTATTCTGTTATTCCCTGCTGGTCTTTGAAAAAAAACTGAAAAAACACCAAGTCTATCACAAAACATCAACTTTATGCATTGTATTATTTTATTTCTAAAATTTATTAGCTTTCCTTCTTGGCACATGCTTTCTTTGGGCAGCTTACAATATTAAAAGATAAAACTGTATACATTCTAATAATATAAATACTATAAAAAATCAACCTAGCTGAAACAAATGGGCGGGGAGGGAGTATGATGAGAAGGGGAGAGGGTGGGAAACTAAAAAAAACAATGCAAAATAATGATGTCTCTTGTTTTGTATCCTTTATTCCTCCATGGTTACTATTCTGGGTACTATACACTAAAATCTATTTTTTCAGTGTTAATGGGAAAAAGATGGGAGCTATTTCACCGTTGAATCATAGCCTAAAGCATTAGGAGAAAAATCCAGTTTTAATCCTTCTCTAAATAAATTTATTAAAACCGATGGCAATAATTTAAAAATCGGGAGTTGAACAATGCTTCCTTATGTCCTTCCCTTCCCTTTTAATGAAAAATCTCTGCCTTCTTTGGGAAGAACTTTATAATTATAGTCTGGTCTCAAATATTCCATCCTTGGGATGATGTCTGAGTAAGTGGTAACTTTGCACATTCAAATAAACGTGGATGAAACTGACTTCCTGGAGACCTTTCAATCAGCGTTTCATCTGGGATATAAGTCCTCGACTTACAACCTTCATTTCGTGACCATTCAGAGTTACAACAGCATTGAAAAAAGTGACATGACCGCTTTTCACACTTGCGACCGCTGTAGCCGTCCCCATGATCACGTGAACAAAATTCAGATGCTGACTCATATTTATGACGGTTGGGGTATCCCGTGATCATGTGATCCCCTTTTGCGACCTTCTGACAAACAAAGCCAATGGGGGAGCCAGATTCACTTAACAACCGGATTACTAACTTAACAACTGCAGGGATTCACAATAACTTTGGCAAGAAAGGTCACAAATGGGGCAAAACTCTCTTAACAAGTGTCTTGTTTAGCAAAGGAAGTGTTGGGCTCAATTATAGCCATAAGTCGAGGACTACCCTGTAATACTGCTTTCTCATGTTGGTGGATGATCCCATTCCAAAAAGCTAAATGGAAGGAATGTTGATAGGGATCTTGCATATCTCAGCACCTTTTAATATGTTTAATGTCTTTTTGTAGTAATCCTGGTTTTCGGAGATGCCCAGAAAGTGCTTCTATGGAAACTATTTTTTACCACTTAACTTGCTATTATTATCGATCATCGCACAGTCAGCCAGATGTTCAGACTGGATTTGGCATTTTGTCTACCTATCGAGTCCTTACCCAGGACCTGGGATAGGCAGATGTGGATGTTTGATGGTATTACAGATATCGTCGCAGGATGGAAGCAGTTCCTAATAAGGCCGCCTTTTGCAATTGACTAATAGCGAATTTGTCAATGCCAATGGTGTTCAAGTGGTGCTCCAGTTGTTTTGGGATTGCACCCAAGGAGCCTATGACTATTGGTACTACCCTTGCTTGCTTTTGCCACAGTCTTTCTATTTCTATTTGTAGGTCTTTGTATTTTGTTATCTTCTCCAGTTCTTTCTCTTCTATTCTGCTGTCTCCAGGCACTGCCACGTCCACTATCCAGACTTTTTTGTCTTTCTTATCGACAATTGTTAAGTCTGGGGTGTTATGTTGCAGGTGCTTGTCTGTTTGAATTCTGAAGTCCCAGAGCAGTTTAATTTTATCATTTTCTATGACTTTCTCTATTTTATGATCCCACCAGTTTTTGCTTACAGGCAAATGATATTTTTTGCAGATCTTCCAATGCACCATTGTTGCTACTTTGTCATGCCGCTGCTTGTAATCAGTCTGTGCAATCTTCTTGCAACAGCTTACCAAGTGGTCCACTGTTTCTTCAGCTTCTTTGCATAGGCGGCACTTACTGTCTGTTGCTGTCTTCTCAATTTTGACTTTGTATGCATTTGTCCTTAAGGCTTGGTCTTGTGCAGCCAGAATTAGTCCCTCGGTCTCTTTCTTCAATTTTCCTGCTCTTAGCCATTGCCAGGTTTTATTATTATCTGCTTTCCCAGCTATTTTTTTCATGTATTGGCCATGTAGTGCTTTGTCTTCCCATGCCTCTATTCTGTTCTTCATTTGGTCTTTCTTGTAGGCCAGTTTGGTCTCTCCAGTAGTTAGTAAGCCTTCCTGATATACTAATTTCAGTGCATCTTCATCATTGTTCTTCAGATATTCTTCCAAAGCCATTTTTTCTTCTTCAACCATCTGATGTACTTGTAGCATTCCACGCCCACCTATTTGCCTTGGTAGATAAAGTCTATCAATGTCACTGCGTGGATGAAGGGCATGATTCATTGTCATTATTTTTCTGGTCTGCCTATCCATTGCTTTTAGTTCTGCTTGAGTCCAGTCCACTATTCCAGCTGTGTACCTAATGACTGGGATTGCCCAGGTGTTGATTGCCTTTATGGTATTTCCTCCATTGAGTTTGGATTTTAAGATCTTCTTCACTCTCTTGATGTATTCACCTCTAATCTTTTTCTTGACTTCAGTGTGCTTGATGTTGTCAGCTTGAAGGATACCCAAGTATTTGTAGTACTCTTCCTCATCCAGACTCTTAATGTTATTTTCGTGGGGCATCTTGATTCCTTCAGTTTTCATTATTTTTCCTTGTTTGATAGTAAGTGTGGCACATTTGTCCAAGCCAAACTCCATTACAATATCTTGGCTATATATACGGACAGTGTTGAGCAGCGATTCTATTTCAGATGATGTTTTTCCATACAGCTTCAGATCATCCATATAAAGGAGGTGGGATAGTCTGGCAGATGTTTTTGATGTTTGATAGCCATGTCCTGAGTTATTCAGTATTGTTGACAGAGGAAACAGTGCAATAACAAATAGTAATGGTGATAATGAATCTCCTTGAAATATTCCTCTCTTGATATTAACCTCTCCCAGCCTCTCACCATTGATCTGCAACTGTGTCTTCCATTGTGCCATCGATCTTTGCACAAATTTTCTGATGTTTCTACTGACTCCTGTTATTTCTAGGCACTTTATTATCCAATCATGTGGCAGAGAGTCAAATGCCTTTTTGTAGTCAATCCATGCCACATTCAGGTTGGTCTTCCTTCTCTTGCAGTTTTCCAAGATCATTTTGTCTATTAGGAGTTGATCTTTTGTTCCTCTGCTATTGGGGCGGTTTCCTTTCTGCTCAGGTGGAAAGAGATTGTTTTCAACTAGATGCTGTTGTACTGCATCAGCTACCACACCAGTTAGTAATTTGAAAGTTGTTGGTAAGCAGGTAATTGGCCTGTAGTTACCTGGTGTTGCCCCTTTTGCTGGATTTTTCATTATTAGGTAGGTTTTCCCAGTTGTTAGCCACTTTTCAATTTCTCCTCCTTGTAGTATATTGTTGAACTGTTTGGCAATGAGTGGGTGTATAACAGTTAGATGTTTCAACCAAAACCCATGCAGTTCATCTTCACCTGGTGCTGACCAATTTTTGATTTTCTTTGCTCTTTTTTCTACCATTTTTGTTGTTATTACTAGTTCTTTCATTTCAACTTCTGTTTTATTTGCATCCACCTCTTTTAACCAAGCCGCATCCTTGTTGTATTTCTTTGGGTTATCCCATATCTGCTTCCAGAACTGCACTGTTTCTTCCTTGTCAGGTACTGACTGATTCCTTGCAGTTTCTCCATTGATGGATTGGTAGAAACGTTTCTGATTGGATTGAAATTGGAGGTTCTGCCTATAGTTTGCAATTCGAGCTTCATATCTACTGATTTTCCTGGCTATAGCTGTTATTTGTTGCTTTATTATTTCCAGTGCTTCCTTGATCTTCCTTGTTTCTAAGTGGTATTTCTTGATTAGGTATTCTTTGGTCTTCTTGTTCTTCAGCTTCTTTTCTTTCATCTGTTCTAGCTTGCTTGCATGTGATCTTAACTTGCTGATCTTATTTTCTAGTCTAACCTTCCATTTTTCTGGTGCACTGTTTGTTTGTTTTTCTTCTTTGTTGATTTTGCATCCCAGGTATTCTGTTATAACTGCAGCTGTGCTGTACATTAGTTGGTTTGTTTCTTGCAATGAATTGGTGCTTATACTTGATATTGCAATATTTGCATCTTTTAATGCTTGTGCTAGCTGTTTCTTTGGAACAAGCTTCAATGCAGGTAGCCTTATTCTGTTGTTTTTGTGCTGTTCTAGATGCTCAGTTATTCTTTGTTTCAATTCTTTTATTTCTTTAGTTAGAGGGTTTTGTTCTTCCTGAGGTAGAGGTGCCTGGTTTCCAAATGAGAACAGTTGTATATCTCTGCTAGATTCCTTCACTGCCAACTCCCCCTGGTTTGCCTCTACATTCTGAATTACTTCTGGTAAGGCTTTGATTTCTTTGCCCTGGGTAAACCTTTGCAGTTCGTCCAATTCTGTTTCTGTGAATATTTTATTTCGTGTTATAAATCGGCGTTGATCTGCTAGTCTCTGTTCTGTTATTTCTGATTATTATTATTATTATTATTATTATTATTATTATTATTATTATTATTAATCATCGCACAGTCAGCCAGATGTTCAGACTGGATTTGGCATTTTGTCTACCTATCGAGTCCTTACCCAGGACCTGGGATAGGCAGATGTGGATGTTTGATGGTATTACAGATATCGTCGCAGGATGGAAGCAGTTCCTAGTAAGGCCGCCTTTTGCAATTGACTAATAGCGAATTTGTCAATGCCAATGGTGTTCAAGTGGTGCTCCAGTTGTTTTGGGATTGCACCCAAAGCGCCTATGACTATTGGTACTACCCTTGCTTGCTTTTGCCACAGTTTTTCTATTTCTATTTGTAGGTCTTTGTATTTTGTTATCTTCTCCAGTTCTTTCTCTTCTATTCTGCTATCTCCAGGCACTGCCACGTCCACTATCCAGACTTTTTTGTCTTTCTTATCGACAATTGTTAAGTCTGGGGTGTTATGTTGCATTTATTATTATTATTATTATTATTATTATTATTATTATTATTATTATTATTATTATCATCATCATCATCATCATCATCTCTTCCTTTTCTTCTGTCCTTTTTTCAGATACATCATCCTCATGACTCTACAGGACAGAAATGAGAAACTGTTTTACCGCGTGCTCACATCTGACATAGAAAGATTCATGCCCATTGTGTATACTCCAACTGTTGGACTAGCTTGCCAGTTGTATGGCCTGGCCTTCAGACGGCCTCGGTGAGTGGACAGAATTATTTCCATTTTTCTTCTGCTGGGTTGCTTCTCACTCAACGCTTCCCATTGGCATTAAATGTTCCCTTTCTAATTGCTACCTATCTTTCCCTGGGTGGTCTCCACAAGAAGGAAAACTCACAATTCTTGATGCAATGGTCAGATAACTTAGTGTGCATTTGTATTCCTGTAATGACAAATGGGAAAAGTCTTCCAAGATGAACAAAAGCAGTTTTGTTTGAGAACAGTACAGTACAGTTCGCTCTGCCTGAGATTAATCACAAAATGTAACCCTAATTCTCGTTAAACTTCCTCCATCAAATCTATAACTTTTAAATTTCTAATAGTCTTGCATGGTAGCCTCTAGTAATATCTGTAGCTATCCTTCCTTCCTTCCTTCCTTCCTTCCTTCCTTCCTTCCTTCCTTCCTTCCTTCCTTCCTTCCTTCCTTCCTTCCTTCCTGCACATCCCTTCGTTCCTGCCTGCCAGCATACCCCTTCCTGCCTACCTGCCTGCCTGCATACCCCTTCCTTCCTTCCTGCCTGCCTGCCTGCACATCCCTTCATCCCTGCCTGCCTGCCTGCATACCCCTTCCTTCCTTCCTTCCTGCCTGCCTGCCTGCCTGCCTGCCTGCACATCCCTTCGTTCCTGCCTGCCAGCCTCCTTGCCTACATACCCCTTCCTTCCTTCCTTCCTTCCTTCCTTCCTTCCTTCCTTCCTTCCTTCCTTCCTTCCTTCCTTCTTGCCTGCCTGCCTGCCTGCCTGCCTATCTGCCTGCCTGCACACCCCTTCCTTCCTGCTAAGAGGCACTTCCTTTTCCTATTCCTGTATATTTTCAAAGTATGGAAATCCCTGCACTGAAATCCCTCAGAACAAATAAAAGAAGGTGCAAAAAAAATCTAGCCAGCTCTCCTTCCTCCCAGCTATTTTTTTGCTTCAAACTCTCCCTGCTCCTAGGGATCATTCTGTTTTTGCATCCCTGATTTCAGTCCTGAAGCATTGGTAGAAAATTGGTAGGGCATCCTAGATATGATAATAGGTAGGATAATAAAAGAGAATATTTATAGCTCAGGGTTGAAATGAGGAGTCCTTGGTGCTCTCTGAGCGTGGTTGTTTCCTTGCAGGCGTTTCAGTAACATCAGCCTAGCCTAGCCCTGATAATGTTACCTGATAATGAAATGTCTGCAAAGAAAAAAAAACAACAAGCTCAGAGAGCACCAAGGACCCTTCATTTCAACCCTGAGCTACCAATATGCAAGTAACTCAACAATAGCATATAGAGAGCATCACAGGTGGGAAATTCAAAGTATCACCAAAAGCTAGTCATTAAAAAAAACCTTTTTAATTTAGTCTTGATTATCAGCTTGACTAACTGGTTAAGTCAGTGGTGGCGAACCTATGGCACGTGTGCCAGAGGTGGCACTCAGAGCCCTCTCTGTGGGCACACATGCCATTGCCCCAGAAGAGTTCACCAGAGGGGACTGGAGGCTGAAACATATAAGGAACGGTTGCTAGAATGGGGTATGTCTAGTTTAACGAAGAGAAGGACGAGGGGGGGAACATGATAGCAGTATTCCAATATCTCAGGGGCTGCCCTAAAGAAGAGGGAGTCAAGCTATTCTCCAAAGCGCCTGAAGGCAGGACCAGAAGCAACGGATGGAAACTAACCAAAGAGAGAAGCAACCTAGAACTAAGGAGAAACTTCCTGACAGTGAGAACAATTAACCAGCGGAACAACTTGCCTCCAGAAGCGGTGAATGCTCCAACACTGGAAGTTTTTAGGAAGAGACTGGACAGCCATTTGTCCGAAATGGTGTAGGGTTTCCTGCCTGAGCAGGGGGTTGGATTAGATGACCTCCAAGGTCCCTTCCAACTTTACCATTATTATTATTAGAGTAGCGAGCACGTGGCGTTTGGAAGCGACGGGGCAGGAAGTGAGTGAGCAAGCGGCGTTGTTCCCCCGGGGATGCCCTGGAGATGACAAGGGACTGGCCCCAGCTGCACTCACCCAGTCTGCCGTGACCACTGCAGCCATGCCCACCCAGTGGGCCACGCCCCCCACCCCCCCTGAGGGCACCACAATGCTGATGCAGCCCTGGCACTTTGCGATAAATAAGTGGGTTTTGGGGTTGCAGTTTGGGCACTCGGTCTCTAAAAGGTTTGCCATCTCTGGGTTAAGTCATTCTCCTTTAGAGGGGTCCTTGGTGCTCTCTTGAGTGCACTAGTTTGCAGTGAAACCTCTGCAAAAAAACAAGCAAACTCAGAGAGCATCAAGGACCTCTCATTTCAACCCTGAGCTATAAATTTATTGATGCATCCTAGATAAATTATGTCTGAATCAGGGTTTGGTTCCACGGTCTATTCACGGTCCCAGTTTGCTATTTCAATGCATTATAGGTGGTCTTCTTTTGTTTTGGATGCAGCCAGGGATAGGTTGGCACAAAAATCTTCCTGGGGCCAATAATATCCAACTGCTTTTCTCCCTGTGCTAGGGAGATGAGGTTGTGTATTCCACCTGTCCTTTTACAGAAAGTTTTTCTTTCGGCCATCCAATGGGAAAGCTGGCCCTGGTTCCATCCCAGGCCTTAAATGAGAAAGGTTTCAAATTGCATTTGACTTTCTAATTCACAAAGGAGAGCAAACCTTTGTAAATGCTCTGTAAATAGTTACAGACAAGTTCCAATTCCCTTTGAAGCTGTATTCCACTGCATATTTTTTCAATTATCTCTTTCTCTCTCCATCTCCACCCCTTGGAAAGGGTTTTGTTTTGTTTTTTTGCTCTTATTAAAAGGGATGAATATCACATGGGGAATAACATTCTTCCTTGCAAAGAGCACTTTTTTTCCTTTTCGGAAAAGATCTTGTCCAGTCAGACTGAGTAGGCAAGCAATCACCTTTTAACCCTTGTTCATCACAGTTCATAAATCAGGTGTTTGTCCCTTGAGCTTCTCTGGTTCCTTGAAAAGAAAGGCTTTTTACATTCCTGGCCAAGGAATAGAGAATAGCACACAGGGTCCTACGGCAATTTGTTTTATCTTCAGGAAAAAAAAAACCTGTATAGTAACTTGGAAACAAGAGACTATTTGTAGCTCAAGGTTAAACTGCAGAGTCCTTGGTACTCTTTAAGCTTGGTTGTTTTCTTGCAGACGTTTTATTACCAAACTTGGTAACGTCATCAGTGCTGGGAGTCTAGTCTGTTAGCACTGATGATATTATCTAGTTCGGTAATGAAGCATCTCCAAGAAAACCACCAAGCTCAGAGAGCACCAAAGACTCCACAACTTGGAAACAGCTAGCAAAACGTGTCTTTCAAGCTCTCTTTTTCTGCTATTTCCTCAGGAAGTTGTCTCAATCCCTAGTCCATGAGTGAGACACCTTGTTGTCCTTAGAGGAAGATAAGATAACCTTTATTGTCATTTTTTTTTACTGTGGGCACATGGCACACATCAAAAATGAAATTTAATTGCCCGCTCTCAAAGTGAATACAGACATGACACACACCTAAACATACTATATCAGTGGTGGCGAACCTATGGCACGCGTGCCAGAGGCGGCACTCAGAGCCTTCTCTGCAGGCACGTGTGCCATGCCCAGAGATGGCAACCGTCCCTCTTCAACCAACCACCCGCTAACTCGCTGAGGTCCCATGTGGCCAGATGCATCCCAGCACAGCTGGTTTTCCTCCCCCATGTCCCATCCCTCCTGGCCTCGCATGCTCTCCTTTTCCCAGGCATGACCCACTCCATTGCCTCCTCAGCTGTCGGCCACCCGTCCAGCTCAGAGGTGGCTTCTCTGAACTGTTGGCAGTGGGCTGCGTAGCCCCAGAGTGTGCCAGTCGAGGGGCCGGAAGGCTGTGGCTGCTGACGAACACGTCGCCCCCCCATGTGCTCATTGGCCTTTGTGCAGGGGCCGATGGTGTCAGACAGAAGCTGCCCCTGCCTCGCCTTGCCCTGCAACAATAGCACACCCGCCTGCCTCGCCTTGCCCTGCAACAATAGCACACCCGCCCTGCCTCGCTTTGCCTCGCCTCTCCCCGCAGGACGAGCCTCCTGCCCACTGCCCCACCTGCCAAAGACCCCCCTGGATCTCACAGGCATCCCTCTCCACAAATAAAATCAAGGTGACCACGCCCACCTTGGCCACACCCATCCATCCAGACCATCACAGCCACACCCACCCAGTGGGCCACACCGACCTGGCACCCGGCGATAAATAAGTGGGTTTTGGGTTGCAGTTTGGGCACTCGGTCTCTAAAAGGTTCGCCATCACTGTACTATATACAACATATATTATTCTCCAAAGCACCTGAAGGCAGGACAAGAAGCAACGGGTGGAAACTAATCAAGGAGAGAAGCAACCTAGAACTAAGGAGAAACTTCCTGACAGTTAGAACAATTAATCAGTGGAACAGCTTGCCTCCAGAAGCAGTAAATGCTCCAACACTGGAAGTTTTTAAGAAGAGACTGGACAGCCATTTGTCCGAAATGGTGTAGGGTTTCCTGCCCGAGCAGGGGGTTGGACTAGATGACCTCCAAGGTCCCTTCCAACTTTACTATTATTATTATTATTATTATATATAGGTTTCCTGCCTGAGCAGGGGGTTGGACTAGATGACCTCCAAGATCCCTTCCAACTTTATTATTATTATTATTACTATTACTACTACTACTACTACTACTACTACTACTACTACTACTACTACTACTACTAATAATAATAATAATAATAATAATAATAATATATTTTAGCTTCCCAGCCTAGCCTAACCCTAGTATTTGCTAGTAGTTGCCCTCCAAATATCAAACGGTTCCACCATGTTTAGCTTCGAAGCTCAGAATACATGAATTACCTGCTGAGCATAAACTGAAAAGCACTTCAAGAAAGAAACAAACAACTTGGTTAATTCTATTGTTTAGAACCTCTGTAACAGCCGAGTCTTTGCAATAAACAAATCTATAAAAGTCAGAGATCAGTCACTCGTGGTAATTTCAACCATTGATTGGTTAATTATTTTTTCCTGCTCACATAAATCCCTTGCTGGCTCAAATGAAGTTTGATTGCCCAGGCTCTTTTGTAAAATGATGTGTTTGTTAGTTTAACGTTTTCCCCAAAGAACTAATTTGAATTGTTTGATTTCTAAATTTCAAAGCCTAACACAGTTGCCACAGCAATAACAGAAATAGGATCTGCAAACATAGCAGATGGCTGGGAGGTTCCTTAAAAAAGGAATCTCAAGAGACTTATGCATCATATGCTGGAGTTATTTCTGGAAATAAAACGGTATATTCATTAAATTGAATTTTATTTAATATATTCGTTCAATCAAATCCTGACTCATAGAATGACCTGACAATCCCCAGATGTGCTATGACTGAAACCAGGGATGGGTAAAATAAACCCACATGAACCACGATGCACCTGATATTATCAATGGCTAGTATCAGCTGCTTTTGATTGAAATATCAAAACTTTCCAACCAGTCATCCCAACACATCTAAAAAGCCCCAGGGGAAAGTCTAGTCTAGAGAAAAGAAGGATTAGAATAGAATAGAGCTGGAAGGGATCTTGGAGGTCAACTAGTCCAGCCCCCTGCTCCAGCAGGAGAACCTATACCATCTCAGACAGGTGAATGTCTAGTCTCTTCTTTAAAATCTCCAATGATGGAGCCCCCACGATTTCTGGAGGCCAGCTATTCCACTGGTTGGTTGTCCTCACTGTCAGGAAGTTTCTCCTTAATTTCAGGTTGCTTCTCTCTTTGGTCAGTTTCCAACCATTGTTTCTCGTCCTTCCCTCTGGTGCTTTGGTGAACAACCTGACCCCCTCTGTCTTCTGGCAGCCTTTCAGATACTGGGGTGACATGATAGCAGGATTCCAATATTTGAAGGGCTGCCACAAAGAAGAGGGGGGCCAACCTATTTTCCAAAGCGCCTGAAGGCGAGACAAGAAACAATGGATGGAAGCTAATCAAGGAGAGAATCAACCTGGAATTAAGGAGAAATTTCCTAACAAGGAGGACAATTAACCAGTGGAGCGGCTTTCCGTCAGGTGGCATGGATTTTGGTAGCTGAGATATAGTTAGCAGAAAGAATTTACTCCTCCCCATTACGACATAAACAGACTAAAGGTTGTCGTCCTTGACTTACAACAGTTCATCTAGTGACCATTCTAAGTTACAATGGCACTGAAAAAAGGGACCGATGACCGTTTTTTCACATTACGACTATTGCAGCAACCCCACGGTCATGTGATCAAAATTCAGACAGCTGGCAACTGACTCGTATGTATGACGGTTTCCAGTCTCTCAGAGTCACGTGATCAGCTTTTGCAGCCTTCTGAACAAGCAAAGTCAAGGTCACTTAAGAACCGTGCTTCTCTTTTGCATGGATTAGTTCTGTATGCTTTCCTTCGCACTCTAAGGACAGATTCACGAGTGCGTTATAATCCTGTGCTTCCTCTTTGCCTGGGATGCTCATTTAAACAAATTTAAGTGAGTTTTAAGAAATTTGCTAATGGTCCTCTCTTTTGCCCTTTATGCCATTCCACTTCGTGCCCAGCCTTCTCTACTTCTTTGTCAGGCTCAGATTAGTTTTTCTTTTTGTGTAATTTATCCTTTTTCTTTTTTTTTCAGCGGACTATTCATTACCATTCACGACAAAGGACACATTGCCACAATGCTGAATTCCTGGCCTGAAGACAACATAAAGGTAATGGGCTGGTTGATTTGTTTTTAATGGGGGGGGGGAACCCTCTATTTTTCATGGAATCAGAAACTTATTACAAATGAGCTACCTTTTTGAAGTGGGACTGCTGTAGCTGCAGAAAGATTATTAGGACTAATTAAGGATTGCCCTTGATCTTAGGTTCAAAGCTCAGGCCTTGGATTATGTCTCTTTTTCGCTTGTCAGTATGAGAGGACAAATTAGTTTGAGAAGACAAGGGAATGTGACACCACTTTGTTGTGTGAGAGTCCCAACCTACAGCTAGTTTCAAGTCACAGACAATGTAAGCTATTTTGAATCAGTTACTCTCTCTCAGCCCCCAACCCACCTCACAGGATTGTTGTGAGGAAAATAGGAGGCGGAAGAATTTTTGTTTGCCGCCTTGAGTTATTTATAAAAATAATTAAGGCAGGATAGAAATAAATTAAGATATAATGAAGATTTCATTTCTGAGCATGTATAATCATGGCTATATTTTAAAAAAATAATAATATGAATCTCTCTTGTCCACACTTAGTAATGTAGAATTATAGTTTTGAGGCAAAGTTGTTTCCGCAGCCCTTTTTTTGCATTAGAAATTCTGCATTGTGAAAGTAACATCCTTCCATTGTGCTCTGAAGAAGACGGAATTCATCCACACGCCCATCAGAAAGATTGGCAGCTGGACTTCCAGTTTGCCATCGCAGACGCCGCAGACACTGGAAGGCGAGCTCCGCCTTCCGCGTTCGGTTTCGTTCCACTGGAGGACCCTGGAAAGGGTCGAAAGTTGCCCTGTAGGGGCACCAAGCAAGGAGGTGACCCCCGCTTGATCGCAGGAGGGCAGCAGCCCTTCTGCTTGATCCGGGGCAACACTCCAAACCAGCAGAGGAAAGACCGGCCATAGCAATATGGCTTGTCACTAAGCTGCAGACAGCCAAAGTCAAACTCACCACCAAGCACTTCTAAAGCAACGCGGATGAAACTGGGTGAGATCCGATCTTCTCTTTATCCTAAGTATTTTCTTTTCCTGTAAAAGCTGCCCAAAGTATCTTTCCCCCTGTGAGAAGAAAGGGAAGGAAATTTCTATCCCACCCTCTGAATAGCAGCGACTGACTACCCAGGGGAATTAAAATGCTAAAAGAACAATTTTAATCTATTGGATTTATATGTTCCTGAAACTTGGGGACCAAAAGTTGTCTTATTTTTATTGGAGACTTTTGTTTTTATTTAGAAAAAAGAAATAAAATTGGAAAAAGGATTATAAAAATTTTTGGATTTAAAAAACTTTAAACTTGTGACGAAGTTTGGTATTACAACTTGTTATTTCCTAAAAGACTTGGCTTGAAGCCCAGACTTTAGATAAGACTTTTTTGACCTTGGTACCACCTGTGAGAAACTCACCTGTAAAGAGAAGGTCTGGGCAGCATAACTGGCCTACTTGAATTATGAATGTAAACCTTTACTGACTTTCAGAGTTATATGTGGGGAATTGCCTTCCTATCTCTTTATTTGAGGAACATTGGTTACTATATGAGATGATGAAATACCTTGGACTATAAAATCTTGCTTGACAAACGACTTCTACTCTAAAGACTATCTATAAACACATGAAAGAGAGGTCCCATACCTAGTTATAAAATTATTTTTAACGTCTGATTTTAAAGTCCTCAACTTAACACATTATTAAAAGAATATGGATAAAGACCAGGAAAAGATCCTTTCCATGTTGAAAGCAATACATGAAACCATTCTTTCAGCTAGTGATAAAATAAGATCTAACATAAAAGAACAAGATGCCAGCTTAGATACACAAACCCAAACATTGACTACAACCAAAGAACTAACAACGCAGAAGATAACAGAAGAAGTGGAACATCAAATACTAAGACAGAGGACTCAATTGACCAACAAATACAGTTAATGGAAAATCCAGAAAAGGGAGTGACAACACTGAAAATGGAAAAGACTTTCTATATAAAACAGAAGAAATTTGAGAAAGAAGAACAGATTGAATGGAAGATAAAAACATATCAGGACAATCATGAGGAATTGGGATAATAGGGAGACAATTTAATGAATACAAATGGGCTAGCCCTTCCAAAAAAATGGCAACTAAATGATCTCTCTTATTTCAAATAACATATATAATAATAGAGGGAGATCTATTTGATGATCTAAAAGCAATGATATAGAAGGCTAGTTGGCAAAAGAAGAAAGCCAGAATAAGGCTGAAGAAAACTGGGGTTTTGATTTATTTGAGTGGATTTCACATTATTAATTAGAGGGTTAAAGGGAGAAGTTGAGATAAGGGGAATTTTGGTCATTAGATTTAAAATATTGGAAATTAGTTAAAAATAAGGATTTTATCTATTTAATATTTAAAAATTAGACCCAAAAGAAAAAAAAATAATTATTATGAATTTGTTTGATTTATTGATTAACCCAGACAATATAATGGTTTTGATTTATTAAAGGGGATATTGTATTATTAAGTAGATGATTTAATATGGTGGGAAATAGATAACTTTTAGGAAATAGAACAAGACTATATTCAAATAAATAAAATGCGTATTTTGAATATTAGATTCTGTTATGAATTGAGATAAGGGAAATTTTGGTTACCTAAAGCCTGAAAATTATAGATATCAAATGTTAAATTGGAATATTGATGGGAAACTAAAATTTGGGAAAAAATTAATAACAGGACATGGATTGTTTATGAAGATTGAATGTAAAAGTAATTAAGATATGTATAAGCTAAACATATAGTAATAATAATAACAACAACAACAATAATAATAATAATAATAATAATAATAATAATAATAATAATAATAATAATAAAGTTGGAAGGGACCTTGGAGGTCATCTAGTCCAACCCCCTACTCAGGCAGGAAACCCTATATCATTTCGGACAAATGGCTGTCCAGTCTCTTCTTAAAAACCTCCAATTTATTGATAAATGTAATAATGATGTTTTTACTAAGTTGATACAATAAGAACTGTATTAGCTTAAATACGAGACAGTAGATATTAAGGGGAAAAGAGAGGAAATATTTGATGTTGTAACTTGAGATTTGTACTAAAGATTTTTATGTTATTGAACTATTGATTAACCCAGCCACCACGTTGCTTTTTAAATACTTAAATGTAAAATTGTAAAATTAATAAAATATTATTTAAAAAAGAAAGAAAGATTGGCAGCCTTCTCATGCAGAATTAATTTTAAAGAAATGACTCCTAGCGTTTGTAAATTAGAAGTTCGCATAATTAAAGAACTTTTCAGAATCTAAGCAAATCAAGCTAAAACCAGTCATGTGGTTAAGCTGGGGTTTGCTTCTTTTAAAACAGCAGTTTCTGTGGTAAAACTGGGCCTATACTTTGATTTTATCAGGATTTAAGATCAAAGAGTGACTCATAGCTTTTTGATCCCATGGCTGCCCAATTCCTGACTACAAACGGAAGACCGAAGTTCAGTTCAAAAAACACACCGAAGCAAACTGGGTTAGAATTCAGACATCTAACCTTCATGGCAAAATACAGGGGGATGTCTAGGATTCAGAAATGGAAAATGTGAAGATGTTGCCCTTATTTATGTATTTAGCGTATGGCATATCATACATGAACTAGCAATATATATTAACATTTTACCTAGACTAGTAAAACATAATATGTTTTATTATGTTTATATATTTATTTATATATTATATGTTACATATTTATATATTTTAAAAGATTTATGTTCAAATATCAATATCTAGGCCAAGAGTGGGAAACGATGGCCCTTTTATGACTTGTGGACTTCAGCCCCCAGAATTCCTGAACTAGCATGGCTGGCTCAGGAATTCTGGGAGTTGAAGTCCACAAGTCATAAAAAGGCCATTGTTCCCCACCCTGGTCCAGGCCGCATAACCATTGAAGCACAGCATCATTTATATTAAAAAAGATCAGATACTGAACCAGTATATGCCACCAGCTTATAGCCGTTCACGATGTGATCTATAATTTGTTATGAGGCTCTACAGTCACACACTGAGGAAAGGATGCTATGCCCCATTTATAAGGATAATCCCTGCAGACCCCGTGTAAGGTGTGAATCGTAGCTGTTGCCCTGAATCATACCATCAATGGAGTTGAGTATTGGCTACTGGCTGATTATGCCTTTTTACAGCTCTTAATCTTTTCCACTTCTCTTCAAGATGCCAATTTCCTGGACCTAACTGCATGTCCAAAATAGACTTGTCAATCTTCTGTGGATCTTCCTTAAAAGTGATTGTAACACATCCTTGGGCTTGATAACCCAAATGATTTGTGTCATAATCTATTCATTGCCAAAGAGATAGACACGGCTTTACTTAACCTTCCTCCACACATATACCCAAATTTAGACTGTAATTACAACCAAGATAACCAAGGAGAGAAGCAACCTAGAACTAAGGAGAAATTTCCTAAGAGCAAGAACAATTAACCAGTGGAACAATCTGCCTCCAGAAGCTGTGAATGCTCCAACACTAAAAGTTTTTAAGAAGAGACTAGACAGCCATTTGTCTGAAATGGTATAGGATTTCCCGCCTGAGCAGGGGATTGGACTAGATCAGTGGTTCTTAACCTTTTTGAACGAATCACCCTCTTGAGCCAATGAGGAAGTTGTCATCGCCCCCTTCCCCCAACATAACCTCTCAATCACAACATAGGAAATAATTCTTCAATTTATGCAAACACTTGTTTTGTTTTCTTTAAAATTGTCATCAGGACATATCGATGCAAATAATTTATTTCCAGTCTTTTCCCCATATCTCCCATATTCTGGCCAATGGCGTGCCACTGTATGGGTAGAGGCTGCTACACAACGCACATGAAGATAAGCAATGCATATTCACATATGTACGGCGTTCTGTACTGAAGCTAGCTGGAGGAATATTTGAAAACACAATTCAATTCACTAATAGCGAGCGATCTGATGTTTTTGTATGACAGATATAAAGCGATTCATTGTACGAAAAAGTCTCAAAAGTGTCCCCAAAACTTCTTGCTCCATTGCCCCATATCGCCCCCTTTATGTTCCTTTGCCCCCATGTTGCTCCTTTTTGTTTCATTGCCCCCCTGAAAAATGAAATTGCCCCCTGGGGGGCAATATCGCCCAGATTAAGAACCACTGGACTAGATGACCTCCAAGGTCCCTTCCAACTCTGTCATTCTGTTATTCTGAAAGGTTAACAGATGCTTCAGAGCAAGGCCGAGACAACTGCTTTGAGAAGGAGAAACATACCAAAAAATATTCGACATTGCTGGGCTAGTGATTGATTGCCCACATCTTAAAACAAAGAAATGCACATCAGAAGTGAGGTTTTTACTGCATCTGTAACATGTTTAATAAGGCCAGCGAGACTCAGATGCTAGCAAATCCAAAATACTCAGACTACAAATATGTATTCAGGTCAATGGTGCTTTTTGTGCAAAGAGAAAGAATTTTTTTTTCTACCCACAGCCCAGGCCTCAGACAATTATCTGTAGATGCATTGGAATTTATTTCATCAGTTGAAAACAACGGAGTGATCTGAAGAAATGGAAAAGGTTGATACCCATTCAGGGCTTTCATTATTTTCTATCAAACAGCGATGCCCGTTTGACTTCAGCAGAAAAAAAGAAAACCGCAAGCCATATGGCACATGTTTAAATCCTCCTGGCATTTCTCCCTTTAATCATCTGTAATATGTTAATATTTTAAAGCAAATTCCTTCCCAGCTGGGGGAAAAAAATTCTCAGCAGTCTATTTCTAAGTAAGCCCAGCATCTCTCATTCCCTTCCACCCAGTTCCTAAAATAGGTAGATCTTCAAAAGATCTACCTATTATTATTCTAAGAGTTGGAAGGGACCTTGGGGGGGGTCTTCTAGTCCAACCCCCCTATTTGAGCAGGAGAGCCTATATCATTTCAGACAAATAATTATCCAGTCTCTTTTTGAAGGCCTTTAGTGATAGAGTACCCACAACTTCTGAAGGCAAGTTATTCCATTGGTTAATTGGTCTCACTGATAGGAAATTTCTCCTTAGTTCCCAGGTTGCTTCTCTTCTTGGTTTGATTGTGGCAGGTCCAAATCAAATAATAAAATAATAATCCATACAAACACTTACGGGGGGGAAAGTTGGACCATAAGAAAGACTGAGCGCCAAAGAATTGAGGCCTTTGAACTATGGTACTGGCGAAGACTCCTGGGAGTCCCCTGGACTGCAAGGCAATCAAACCGGTCAGTCCTTATGGAAATCAACCCTGACTGCTCTATAGAAGGCCAGATCCTGAAGTTGAAACTCAAGTACTTTGGCCATCTAATGAGAAGGAAGGATTCACTGGAGAAGAGCCTAATGCTGGGAAAGATTGAGGGCAAGAGAAGAATGGGACGACAGGGAATGAAGTGGCTGGATGGAGTCACTGAAGCACTAGGCGTGAGCTTAAATGGACTCCAGAAGATGGTAGAGGACAGGAAGGCCTGGAGGAACGTTGTCCAGGGGTTGCGATTGGTCGGACACGACTTCGCAACTAATAACAATACTTATGGGCTTCTTCTCCTGTTGCACTTGCAACATAGTGGAGAGCTATGTGGGGATATACTGATTGGAAGAGATTCTGATGTTGGGAAAGATTGGAGGCAAAAGGAGAAGGCAGAGGAGGTGATGGTTAGATTGTGTGATTGATGCATTGAACATGAATTTGGGCAACCTCCAGGAGACCATGGAGGACAGGAAGTGCCTGTTGTGCTATGGTCCATGGGGTCACAAAGAGTCGGATACGACTTAGCAACGGAATAACAACAACGATGTGAGAATATATTTGTTCCCTTTACATTATTTCAAGAAACAAAATATACAAAATACACAATTCAGTATTGCATTTGTGGTTCAGTTACTCAGTCATTCCCAAATCTTTATGACCTGATGGATATCATTTTGCAAAATGTGTTGCACTGATGATGTTACCTAGTTGGGTAATGAAGCGTCTGCAAGAAAACCACCAAGCTCATAGACCACCAAGGACCTCACAGCAAAAATTGCCTATCCACAAGTACGTCTTTAAAATTCTTATACGCACCAGCTTAGATCATTAGTGATTATATCGATAAAAGAGAATATTAGTGGCCCAGGGTAGAAACGAGGGGTCCTTGGTGCTCTCTGAACTTGGTTGTTTCCTTGCAGAGGTTTCATTACGCAAACTATCAATACAAATACAAATCCTTTATTGTCAAAGTACAACATGTGTACAATGAGATTGGCTGAGCCTCCCTTCGTGCACCCCCCCATCACAATAACAACAAACACACAATCTTATTGCACCATGTGAACTTATTGCAAGGTTTTCTATCCCAGCCTATAGCCGTCCTTGTTAAAGGCACAAGGACCAAACAACTATTGATAAAATAGGCTGGAGACTTAAAACAAAACAAACCCCTTTTAATATGGATGACAAACCTGCCAAATAGTCCAAAACACAAACAGCAAAACTCAGTCCAAATGAAGGAAATAGTCCACAGGAAACACGATGCAAACAGAAGAGTAGGCACAAGCAAGATGAACAAACCAGAATCCCAAGAAGTACTTTGCAAACGGTTGCCTTCAGCAACCAGCACTGCCTACACCTCCTCTTTTTATACAGCAGTCCCAAGGCGTTGCCTCTCAGTGCCTTCTCCTTTTACTCTGGAGTTGCCGTATTAACTGCTGCTGATTTACTCTCGCTAGTTGACGACGTGTGCGAGCATCAATTAGCATGTCCATTAGGTGTGAGTCCTCCGAGTCTGACTTATTCTCCTCACACAGCTGAGCTTCATCAGGAACACGACTGGAGGGCCCAGGCTCTGCATCAAACCGTGAGTCCTGTAATTCATCCGAGCCTCCCTCTGCCCCTGATGGCCCTTCAAATGCCTCCTCCACTTCCTCCTCCTCAGATTCCTCAGACTCAGCTGTTGGGAGCACAGGCTGGCACGGAATCACAACACAAGGCCCCGCAAGTCTATCATACATGGAGTTATTTTCCATTCAGGGGTCTGACAGCCCATGGGTAGAAACTATTCTTCAGCCTGTTGGTGCGGCTGGCTATGCTTCTATATCTCCTACCCGATGGTAGGAGAATAAAGAAGTGCTGACCAGGGTGTGAGTTGTTCCTGAGGATTATAGGTAACATCAGTGTATCAAGGACCCCATCATTCAATCCTTAACTACAAATATTCATTTCTATAGATGCCTTGCAATCTTATTATTAATATTTTTGCTTTAAAAAAAAATAAAGTAACAATGATAAACCAATTGTGATAAGTAACTGAGTCAATCCAGAATTTGTATAGGGAACATCATGCACATGAGCCAGTCATCCACAACTTCTTTTTGCAAAACCAGTGTTTCCGTCTTATCAGAGAAAAGCTCCATTGGTTGTGAAACAATCTATTGTCCTTCCAAACCGCTTGGAAATCAACGCTTTGTTGAATGCTTCTTTCTATAGCAGATTCCTCTCTTCTTTTTCAGGCTATTGTGGTGACCGACGGAGAAAGAATTTTAGGCTTGGGCGATCTAGGAAGCTACGGGATGGGCATTCCTGTAGGAAAACTCGCACTCTATACCGCTTGCGGTGGCGTTCACCCACAGCAGTGCCTCCCTGTTCTTCTGGATGTTGGCACTGACAATGAGGTGAGATGGCTTGCTTATTTTCTCTTAGATCTCTTTTACTAGCTGAAAAGTATGGATCAGAGCTTCCTGAATTATATCTGTCTACGGAGATTCTCAATCATCCAGGTCATCGATCGTCCCAAAGGTTCTTGGTTTTTTTCCTTGAAAATGTTTCACTTCTCAACCAAGAAGCTTCTTCAGTTCTGACTGAATAGTGGGGAATAGAAGGATTTACATTCTTTCAGAGTGCCTTCCATCCTTCCGAGGTCGGTAAAAGGAGGACCCAGATTGTTGGGGGCAACACGCTGACTCTGTAAACTGCTTAGAGAAGGCTGTAAAGCCCTGTGAAGCAGTATATAAGTCTACGTGCTATTGGGAAGGAAGGAAGGAAGGAAGGAAGGAAGGAAGGAAGGAAGGAAGGAAGGAAGGAAGGAAGGAAGGAAGGAAGGAGCGAGCCATGGTGGCACAGTGGTTAGAATGCAATACTGCAGGCTACTTCTGCTGACTGTTGGCTGCCAGCAATTTGGCAGTTCAATTCTCACTAGCTCAAGGTTGACTCAGCCTTATATCCTTCTAAGGCAGACATGTCAAACTTGTGACGTCACATGACGTCACACAACGTATCAGAGCTTTTTCCCCATTGTCAGCAATGGGGTGGGCGCGGTTTCCCGGTGACGTGTCCAGCCCGCGGGCTGGCAGTTTGACACCCCTGTTCTAAGGTCAGTAAAATGAGGACCCAGATTATTGGGGGCAACAGGCTGACTCTATAAACCATTTAGAGAGGGCTGTAAAGCACTGTGAAGTGATATCTAAGTCTAAGTGCTATTGCTATTGCTAACGACTAGATGACTGCAAAGAATATAAATCCTTCTATTCCCCACCATGCAGTCAGATCTGAAGAAGCTTCTTAGATGAGAAATACAACGTTTTCAAGGGGAAAAAAATCCCAAGAAAGTCCAGTTGCCTTTTGAAAAGCACCTTTGAGACAGCCTGACTATATCATTAGACTGCATGTACCTTAAAATATGTTAGATGGTGTCAACAGTATGTTTGTTTGAAAGCTAATCTCTAGATTAGAACTCTATCTTGAGCATGCTGCGCTTTGGTTTCACTTAGGGAAGATTGCCCAAAACATGTCAGAACTGAATAATAGCCTCCTTAGTATTTGCAGGGAATGCTGAATGTAGCACAGACACAGCAAAGCCTGGTGACCTAGTCTGAAGCATTATGGAGAAGCCATGCCATGGGTGGTCTCGCTCAGTGTCTATGATCCTAAGGAAAAGATCAGTGTGTATTACTCCTAAGGAAAAGAAGAACTAAGAGGTGACATGATAGCAGTGTTCCAATATCTTAGAGCAATGGTTCTCAGCCTTTTTAATGCCATGACCCCATAATACAGTTCCCCATGTTGTGGTGACCCCCAACCACTTATACACCACCGGGTGCCAGGGGCGTGGCCAAAGAAAAGGGGGAAAAAATGGCGGACAGCCTTGTTTGGCGACCCCTGTGAAATGGTCGTTTGACCCCAAATGGGGTCCCAACCCACAGGTTGAGAACCACTGTCTTAGAGGTTGCCACAAAGAAGAAGGGGTCAACCTATTCTCCAAAGCGCCTGAAGGCAGGACAAGAAACAATGGATGGAAGCTAACTGAAGAGAGAAGCAACCTAGAACTAAGGAGAAACTTACTGACAGGTAGAACAATTAACTAGTGGAATGGCCTGCCTTCAGACGTTGTAGGGCTCCATCACTGGAGGCTTTTAAAAGAAGAGATTGGACAGCCATTTGGAATAGTATAGGTCAGAGGTAGACAACCTTGGCTCTTTTATGACTCGTGGACTTCAGCTCCCAGAATTCTGGGAGTTGAAGTCCACGAATCATAAAAGAGCCAAGGTTGCCTAGACCTGGTATAAGTTATCCTGCTTGAGCATGCGTTGGACTAGAAGAATTGACATTATCTAAAGCATTTCAACAAGGGGACTGGAGGCTAAAACATATAAGGAATGGTTGCTGGAATTGGGTATGTCTAGTTTAATGAAGAGAAGGAGGAGGGAGGACATGATAGCAGTCTTCCAGTATCTCGGGCTGCCACAAAGAAGAGGGAGTCAAGCTATTCTCCAAGGCCCCTGCGGGCAGGACAAGAAGCAATGGATGGAAACTAATCAAGGAGAGAAGCAACCTGGAACTGAGGAGAAACTTCCTGACAGTGAGAACAATTAACCAGTGGAACAACCTGCCTCTAGAAGCGGTGAATGCTCCAACACTGGAAGTTTTTAAGAAGAGACTGGACAGCCATTTGTCCGAAATGGTGTAGGATTTCCTGTCTGAGCAGGGGGTTGGACTCAATGACTTCCAAGGTCCCTTCCAACTTTATTATTATTGTTGTTGTTGTTGCTGCTGCTGCTGCTGCTGCTGTTGTTTTTCTTGTTGTTGTTGTTGTTATTATTATTATTATTATTATTAAGTCGAGTGATCGCAGATCAGTAATAAGCACCCTCCCATTCGCCTGGCTGAAAATTGCAACAGTTATTTGCTGCATCCATCTGAATTTTTCAGCACGAAGGATTGTGATGAAAACTTTCCAGTCAATCCGATAGATTTGATTTTTCCTGCACTAGTCAGAAGGAAATGCACACATCCCTCTGCGTGACCAGAGAAGATCACATTTCGGCAAATAAAGAATTCAAGCCTAATTAATTTCAGTGTTTTGTCAGTTTGCGCACACCCTAATGTTTGCGATGATATGAGAGGATTCCATCTGTTAGCAGTTTTCTGGCCTTCAGCTGCAAAAGGATGCAGTCCAACAGTTGAAGTCCACGCCAGAAGGGACATCTGTAACTCCCCCCCCCCTTTGTTTTTGGCCAGCAAATATCTCGTGCTATTTGATGTGATCAAGTTAGCTAACAAAATGCTTTTCATTAAAATAAAGCACTTTTTAAAAAAAAAACTTTGGCCACTTACTGGTTAAAACAATAGGGTGCGAAAGCAAAGGTTGAGCCTTGTGATTTATGCAAAATAAAGTAATTGCAATCTTACTTGGAGCCACAATCCCATTTTTATTACTATTCTATCAAGCCTTTTCTCCTGAGATATCGCAATAGCCTATACGGTCTCACCACCCTCCAGTAAGAAAAAATTAGAAACAGCGTCAGCTGGAACATCTCTCAGAATGTCAAGACTGAATATAGATTTAAATTTAATTTTCTGTACTGTATGGAGGCCGCAGGGCGGATCGGCTGGGTCTTCCTTCCTGATCTTGCCCCGGCCCTCCCATATGGGGGACCCAGCAGGGTGGGAAACAGGCAGAAGAGCTGTGGGGAGCCAGCAAGATGGGAGATAGGCCCACGTGTGTGGGACCCAGCTGGGCAGGAAGCAGAGTACAAAGTACCTCAGGAGTGCGGAAGACCCTAGAAAGACTGGGACAGGCCACATGGAAGCAGGGGAGGAGCTGAAGTGTAGCCCTGGGCCTGCGCCTGGCCTCTGAGGGCCTCCCCCACACTCTGAGGTTCCCTTCCTCCCCTTAACAATCCATGCAGTCACTTAACAACTGCAATGGAAGAACAGGGTTTACAGTGGTTAAGTGAGGTGATGTCAGGTGCAAGCAACCAGGTCCACTTGTATAAGGGCTCAAGCTAACTACTTTATTATATTATATATTATTATATTCTCCCCAGACTGCTTGCCTTCTCTTGAGAACAAACAGATAAAAGTCCCATGGAACTTTGAGAAAGTCAGCCCTTAAGTCTCTTGTGGCTGCGCAATGACTCAAGGCTAATTCCTCACTTGATCCCTCCTCCTTGCCTGGCCAGCAGTTTCCCAACATGCGACCACAGGGGCGCCTTGCTTAACGACCACCACAGCTTACGACCATAATGGACAGGCTCAAGGACTACCTGTAGAGTACAATAGACTGGTGTAGGGTATGTTGCAAATTACAAAGGATAGATCTAGAGGTCCATCTGCTTAATGCCAGCATCCTCCTTCCCAGGGCTGAACTAAACTCCAACCAATTAAACCCCAAGGCAATAATGATGCCGCATTTGTGTCCTACAGCTGTTACTCCTTAGAGGAATGATGTCTTAGGCCTTAAACACTTAAGGCATCTATTCCGCCTTAACCCAACGTCTCCCCAAGTATTAAAAACAGTCTAATTTTAAAATTCCTTTGAATTTTAGATAAAAAAGGAAAAGTGAAAAAATTAATATTCCCTGCTTGAGAGGATTCTGCAAGCCACTAATTCATTTTGATAGGCCCCACTCATTCCATGATTGCTGATTGCCCCTTCCTCACATCATCTATGATGACTCACAGCTCTGCCTACATTAATCCGCCATAAATTTGGAAAATCCTCCGTTTCGCCTAATGGTTAAGGCACCAAGCTAGAAAGCAAGAGACTGCGAGTTCAAGTCCTGCCTTAGGTATGTAAGCCAGCTGAGTGACCTTGGGCCTGTCTCTCTCTCTCTTTCTCTCTCAGCCCAACCTGCCTCACAGGGTTGTCGTTGTAGGGAAAATAGGAGGAGGAAAGTGTGTTGGATATGTTAGACGCCTTGAGTTATTTGTGAAAATAATAAAGGGGGGATATGAATGAATAAATGAAAGAATGAAGCAACGGATTGAAACTAATCAAGGAGAGAAGCAACCTAGAACTAAAGAAAAATTTCCAGAGAATTAGAGCAATTAATCAGTGGAACAACTTGCTTCCAGAAGTTGTGAATGCTTCAACACTGGAAGTTTTTAAGAAGAGATTGGACAACCATTTGTCTGAAATGGTATAGGACAGTGGTGGCGAACCTATGGCATGGGTGCCAGAGGCGGCACTCGGAGCCCTCTCTGTGGGCACATGTGACGTTGCCCCAGCCTCATCTCCCCCCGCGACCCCCTCCTCTCCAGCAGCCCCCCTGAAGGAGAGTCGCCCCTGAGTGTGGCCCACGTGGAGCAGCACAGCCAAGGACATGGCAGCCAGGCAGTGTAGACAAGACGCAGGCACAGGGCATGACCACCATAGTGCTGCTGGGCTGCCTGG